CAGAATTAGATCCTGTACAATTTTATCATGATGCTGTCATAAGACCAGTGAGTAAAAATATTAAAGTGCAGGGTGTAGAAGATAATGATAACAAACTCCCTAAAGTAGAAAAAGAAAATACAAAAGTGCAAAGATTGGAAGAACCAATGGAAATAGAAAAGGAGATTGAAGAAAACAATGAAATAAAGGGTGAAAGTAATCAAGAAGATACAAGTAGCATTAAATATGAGGAAAATGTGGAACAAGAAAATGTAACTGAAAGTAGTTGTAATGATGACATTAGTACTGAATATTATGCAGAGAAGTTTGGTTATGATGTAAAAGAAGGTATACAGTTACTTGAAAGACCAGTTTTAGAAGCATTGGCATTACAACGATTAGAACAAATTTTAGATCCAGATGGAGAAAATTATGACATAATTAATTGCCAAACAAGGGCCAGAGCGGCATTGTTTTCTTTAAATCACAAACCTAAACCACCAACTTTTATGGTTCATAAAACACTTACTATTGGAAGTGGACCAAATTGTGATTTAGTTTTATCTAATTATGGTAACTGTAGCTTTACATCTTCAAAACACGCTATTATTTTTTTCGACGAGGTAATAATGGATAACGATTTTAATATGTATTGTTTTCATTAAATATCTTATGAGATGTATTATTTTATCTATCTGTATTCTTTTATTTACAGAGTACCAAACGTTATGAATTATTAAACTATAGTGAATATGGAACAGTAGTTGATAATGTACTATATTCTTGTAACTATACAGGCGTCGTAGAAGAGATAAAAGAAGAAGCTGATGATAAATTCCAATTATTGACTAAGGAACAAGATACAACAGAAGCAGTAAAGGCTATAATAAGAGAAAAGGTTCTGACTCAAAAACAAATAGAGAAGAAAAGAGTATTATGTAAATGTAACTTGACAAGGTCTGAAACAAAAAATAAAGATCACTTAGAAGAAGGGTGGGAAGGAAGTGCTATTGTTGCTCACGGATCGACACTGGCATTTGGATGCCTAATGTTTGTATTTAATACGATAAATGCACATTTAGAACGATGAAACCTTATAGTGTTAATATTCCATCATTTCCGTGTACAGATATTTTCGTAAGCTAACGGTAATTAAATTAATTAAACGAATTCTTTTTATTTTATTTTGTTTGTATTTCATTGGCATTCGAAAGTAAATTTCAAAAGAATATTTCATAAAAATATTTTATTGAGTAAAGCTATTATCATGTATTTGCATCATAGTTTACATCTTTATCGTCGTCATTAATAGGTTCATCAAAATCTCTAATCTTAACATCAGCATCCTCTCCATATTGAATAATATTGTCAATCGTCAGTTTAATATCTGCCATACTTTCTTCGTCTTTTATATTTAATGGATAAAAACGCACCAAACTGTAGTCCTCTATAAGCCTTCCTATTGCTTCAGTGAGGTTTCTGTATTTTTTATTCCAAGAATCTTTCTCCATGTCTGATAATAAACTGTATGGATCAGGTTCTAAATATTTGTCTAGTTGCTTTTTTGCACTTTTTGACAGTAAATCCATTTTACTAAGGATATTAATATGTGGTAATTCTAAATTAATCATCACACTAAGTGCAGCCATTGTACCTGACAAAAACTTTGATCCATCAACCATGAATTGACTATCTATTAAAAATACCCCACATATGCGAAAATTGAGATTTTGCAATATTGTTATTAATTGACGAATGACTGTCATATGTGTATATAGCTCTATTTGTCCTGGACAATCAAAGATGATATAATCATCATCCACATCACCTAATTTTTCCTCTAACCATGATGAGTTTTCTATTAAATACCTACAAATAAAATTTTACTGTAAATGTAAAATGTTTAACTTCACTATAATCTTTATACAGAAAGTAAAATTTATTTCATAAACTTACTCCATACAAAATACAAGACCACCATTAGGTCCAAATCGTAATTCATCATCTTCCATAGCATCATCTAACTGAATTAATTCTCTTATATCAACTAAAGGTTCATAATCAAAATATTCTGCTGCTGGATCTAAATTTACTACTTCTATTACGTGTCTTTCACTGGCTGCATGTTGTTGCATTGCAGAACAATAAGTGGACTATATAAAAAAATTATTAATATTAATGTGTAATATAATACATATTTAATAAAAAATATGTGTGTATTGTTTAATACTTATATTAATGTAATTATGCGTTCATTTTAATTTAATTGCACATTTCAATCGCATCGTTTTTGTATACTTATACTTTATATTCATAAGTTTTATTAAAACTCTTTTATTAAATTCTTTTATTAAAAGAGAAAGAGAATACCTTTCCGCTACCGGCTGGTCCCATCACAAGTTGCGCGTATCTCATTTTGCTCTTCTGCTTTTAAATTAATATTATACGAATTAAACAAAATGCACAAACCGTTGCAAGTGATCACATTCTACTATTTGAGGTTGTCAAACCTGATGATTTTGAGTAATAAAAGGTTAATGTTTAGGTTAGAATTTTCACAGTTTGCGCAAATGTAATTCTTATAGTGAAATAAAATTTTTATAATTAGATGAGTTATACTTTATCAGTTATTTTGGTAAAAATAAATGAAAAAGAAAAGAGATTATCAATTTTCCACGTATTACTATATTTAGACACTATAAAATATTAGTTTTGCAGTAAAATATAATAAAAATAATTCATTACAGTTTTTATAATAAGTACATAAAATCTGTATATTGTTAAGAAATTTATTGAATATTAAAAATAAAAGTTCTTATAAATAATACATTAATGAAAAGAAGTTTTCACATTAACATTTATTAGCCTACAAAGAGTAAAAGTAAATGAAAAAATTTATACTGCTTTTTGAAATCGATGCATATATAGAAAAATTTAAAAAAAATGATATGCATTTACATAGCACATATACTATTACTGTTGTATATCTATCCTTTTGATATGTTACGAATTGAACAAAAGACCTTGATATTTGTAATAAATAGACAAAAATTTCAACTTATATTAATTGTTTAAGTTGTTTTAAAATAATCATCTGAACTTGTTGTATATATATGGCCTTCAGAAGATAAAAAATCTAAAATTTCATCTACTTGCCCTGAAAGTGAGTTTGGTACTTTTTCTTTAATTTTATCTCTTTCAATACCAGATTCAGTATCATTTTGTGCATGAATAATTTTATAAACTAAAGTTTGTGCTTCTGACATTCCATAATAAGCAGCTTCTCCATTTAGATCATTTTTATTGTCTTGCTCTTTCTCTAATGTTGTAACATCTTTTGCCATCATTCTAGCTTTCAGTGTAACATAAGTAACTTCAAGAATATGATTTATTAATTCATTCAAGGTTTGTAGTGGCCACATTCGTAAAATTAAAATATGTCGCTTATCAGTTTGTTCTCTAAGAAAACCAACTATGCGAACATATGTATTTATTTGCATTGTAGTATCTGATGTCTTTTTATCCATTTCTAACCATTTGAGTGCAGTGATAGTACCTAAATATATAAATACAGAGAAAACTAAAAACTAAGAAGAAAGAAACTTAGAAAAAGGAATAAACATTAATTAAATTAAACCTGTTTCATCTTCAATATCATATGATATTTTTGTTGTTGTCTCTTCAACATTACGTACTAATCCAACAATCATAAACATACGAGCCGGGATCTCCCATAATTTTGGTTCGTCAGTGGAAGAAAAAGAAAGTAAATTTCCTATCATAGCAGGAACAATAGTTTGTTTTTTACGCTCTTTTGTTCCGTCTGTTTTGTTGAAACTTTCCAAAAATCCACCTCGAGGATTTATACTGCTATCCAAATCTGATGACCACATATCGATGTTTAATTGATTATTTTTACAGAATGATAAATTTTAAAAATTTTGCGTTCACAGGTATCGACATGTGACAAGAGTAAATTATAACTAAAGTTATAAAATTTACGCGCGAACGTACAATCATAAATTATATATACATATAGATTAGATTCGCAATGAAATAAAACTGAAAGTATACATAGTCTGCTCAACGAGACAAGGCAGTAAACGTAAATAAATTTACGTGCGGTTGCAACTATTGGTTGTCGATTACTGAAACTCGAGTTTACGTTTACTGCGTCGTTTCGTTCAACAGGCTATATATTCCACCTTACACGATTTACGATTTTATACTATGATATATTACTTATAATAGTTTATAGAACTTCACAAACGCATCGTGCTACAATAATATACAATATACAATAAACGATATATATGAATTCTATGAAGTCTGTAATCTGGGGAAGAACAATAATAATACATACATAAGCGATATATTTTACACATAATTGTACAATAAATCAGTTTAAATTTTCCTCTTTTTTATTTCCTAATTTCTAAGAATTTTTCTAGATATAATCTGTGAAAGCAATTTCACATTATCTTACCAAAAGCAAATTCACGCAATAGCGCAACACGAATATTTCTGGCGCGAATTTTATCTTTTATGTATATATATAATAATATTTTAATCATTTTTATTTTAATATTAGATTTGACGACTATAATTTGATAATTTTTGTCATTAATTGAAATAAAAATGAGTATGTCCTCAAAATAAAATTATGTACGTTTACTATCTTTGAGTATACCAAAGGTGGTTTTTCTCTATATGGTATTTGAGAATTTTAACTTGAATTTTTCATTTTATATAATTATCATATTGTAAAGTAAAAGTTGGATTAATTATTTATTCATTTTTTAATTATTAATTATTTACAATAAAATCTAACAATTAATAAAACAATTAGTTCCATTGAATTATTTGCTTCTAGTTCTTTATTTAATATTGATATGAGAAAGAACATTTTGTATGAATTTGAAAATATTTATTTCTTTATTATAATCTCTGAAATCTAAAAATATACCTATTTTTTAAATTTTGATCTTTTTTAAAGTCGTAAGGAGTCACAATATGTAAAAAAAAATCAATGCAAATGTGCCTTATGACACGAACATGTCATGGACGAAGGAAAACTTTGGTTTGTTGATTTAAAATTACTGCAAAAAATATCATGGCGTCTAAGACCCGTGCGGACAATATTGTTAATGAGCGCCGTTTACGTCCGATATATGGCAAGTATATTGTTAATATTATTATTAATGAGTAAATATTTATATTTCTTAAGTCATAAGAGAACGTGCTTTCAGTACTTGACCGGTAACGAGGTTATGTAACATTTTTGCACTGTGGATTTCAGATTGGTTGGATAACGGAAATAATAAGAAAGCTCTTCAAGAAGCAGATAAAGTGCTTAAGAAACAGCCAAGCAATCAATGTGCTAGGGTACTCAAAGCTTTGGCTTTATTACGACTTGGTAAAGAAAATGAATCTCAAATTATTATGGATAAAGTACGTTCTGAGATTCCCTGTGAGGACTGTACTCTACAGGTCATGAGCATTTGCTATAGAGAAAGACACCAACGTAAGTCCAAGTTGTACTCTATTATTTCTTACACATACCGGTAATTGTAATTGCTATATATATATTAAATTATTGAAAGAACTAAACATGATATTGAATTTATTTACAGCTGATAAAATTAGCGAAGTGTACGAAGCTGCAGTTAAAGTAGATCCTGGCAATGAAGAATTATTAACACATCTCTTTATGTCCTATGTTCGTCTTGGAGATTATAAAAAACAGCAACAAACAGCACTTGCCTTATATAAACTAAAACCAAAAAATCCTTACTACTTCTGGGCTGTGATGAGCATAGTTATGCAAGCTCTACATTCAGATGAAAAGTTAGCAAAAGGAGTTACTTTACCTTTAGCGGAAAGAATGGTTTGTAGATTAATGTAAAATTATTCTAGTAAGACAAAGTATAAATTGTTTTATTGGTAGCTTTTACATTATTTTAATAAAAATTAGGTATTAAAATTAATCAAAGAAGGAAAAATGGAAGCAGAACAAGAAGTGCAACTTTACTTAATGATATTAGAACTTCAAGGTAAAAATGAAGAAATGTTAAATGTTTTATCAGGGCCATTAGCTACACATCTTTCGTCTGTTTCACAACACAAAGCAGCACTTTTATTAAGATTGGAACGTTTTTCTGAAGCAGTTAATGCATATAAGCAACTCATCAGTGAAAAGTGAGTGTAATATAGTGTATGTGAACTTTAAGTAATAATGTTCTAATGTTTTATACTACTTGTGTATTATAAATAGTGTTGACAATTGGGCATATTACCAAGACTATCTTCTTGCGGCTCTTAAATTTCAAAAGCCAGAAGAATGTTTAAATTTCCTTAATAAGATCATAACCACATTAGAGAAAACATGTAGAGCTCCTTACCTTGCAAAATTTGAATTATTAAAGCTTACTCAGAATGGTGAAATTATTGAAAATGTTACCGAACCAATTGACTTAATGTATCAGTATTTTTCACAATTTGGAGAAAAAAGTTGTGTAGTTGGGGATTTACGTTTATACTTACATTTATTAACACCTATGGGCAAGCAACAGTTGATTCAAAAGGTAAATAATAAGATAGCAAACTGTATCATTCAGATAAAAGTAACAATTCATTTGTATGATATTTTATTCCGAATACTGTTATGTTTTTAGATAGAAGAAAGTGTCGGTGTCAAACCTGATGGATTCCCAACTAATTTGAAGCAATTGCAGAGACACATTCATTTAGAACAATTGCGTCGTATTTGTGGTTTTCATCATCCTCCAAATATTGATATAAATAAGCAAAAACAATTGGTAGAACGATTATGTAAATTATATAAGAAGGGTAATGAATTATGTCCAATCCAAGATAGATTACCAACAGACTTTTGTCCAGCAGATTCTTATATTCTTCTAGCAACGCACTTATTGCATGAATTATGGTGCAATACAAATGACGCAGCGTATCTTTATAGGTAATTATTTTATATTTTTAAGTAAAAAAAGTATTTATGGAAAAAATTTAGTATCTAATAAAAATAATAATATATATTTATAGGGCAATGGAATTATTAGAACGTGGTTTATTATCAAGTCCGGCTAATTTTTATATAAAAATTCTACTAATACGAATTTATTTGGAAGCAGGACTAGTAGGTGCAGCTGATCATGTTTTTACATTGTTGGATGTTAAACATATTCAGTTAGATTCATTGGGTTATTTACATGCACCATTACTTGCTCCACTTGGCCATCTTACATTAGCTACCATAACTTTAGATCATACTACTAAATTTTTTATTGCAAATTACAAAGATGTATGTATTTATATATTATAAAATTCTTTTAATTAATAAGTAAAATTCTATCTAATTCAATTATAATATGTGATTAGAGCGCAGATCATTTAACGTTTGCCTATAAATACGGAAGTTTTGTAAAGATTCAAGAATTTGTGGAGTTAAAAGAACGTTTGGAAAATTCTTTTCACTTTGTTATGACTACTGTAGATAAGATGCTTTTGGAATTAGGTTGGTGCAGTAGTTCCACATCTTTAATTTCTGCTTTAGATAATATGGATATACAACTAATCGAGGATTCTGTTCGATTGAATTCTTTACGAGATAATCGTGATTTGGAGGTAATCCTATATCCATAACATATTAAAAAAGAAAACTTAAAATTTAAAAGAATTGATGCAATTCTTTATTTAAACAGGTTGTTCCTGGATGGGAACCACTTACGGAAAACGGAGAGGATATTAGAATGCAAGAAGAAACACGCATATGTATGTTAAGATTACTAGCAGTGCGAGATTTAATATTAAAAATTTTAGCAGCATGTCTAGCACCTGACAGTTCCTCTCTTCTTATTCGATTTTCTAATGAACTGAAACAGCTGGATAATGAACAAATTCCTTCGATTCTTCAAAAATTTGAATTAGAGGGGAGAAAGAATAGATCATGTAAAATGTTAGTTCCTATGGATGCAGTCGAAAGGTTATGCGAAGCTCATTACTCCGAACAATTGAAGACAATCGCCCGACTTGCAGAATCGCTTGCTCAGTCACGTTATCCTGATTTTGAATGTATTCAGATGTTGCGAGTTTCACCATGCCTCCAGACAATAGATATCCCTGAGAAGAGAATTCCAATGTCTTTCAAGCATTTTTTACTGAGAGCGTCAACGTGTAGCGAAACTCTCGCAATTATTAGTGCCATATGTACTCTGCGTGCAACACAATTACAACCTAAGACTTCGCAAAAGAAGAATAAGAAAAAATGTAATAAACAAATAACATCTATTTCATTAAATGATAATGATCATGTAAGTTAATCGAATGAATTGATATTAGCTGTTTACTCTAATTTAAGCAATGTTTTCATTTGTTTGTTTACTGTGTTATAGAGTTGGAAGGAAATAGTAATGGTACTTGAAGAGAGGATTCAAAATTTAGATTTGGTACTAACAGAATTTGAAAAATACCAGTTACATACTGGACTGAGTAATGACGAAGAAGATTTGTGTGCTATAATAATTAAATATGGTCAAGATAGTTTAGGACAAAGTTGCAGATCATTAAAATCTCGAGTTCAAAGTACACTAAAACTTCTAAGCAGTTTAAAAAGCTGAAATTGTAAGAAAATTCTTGTACAAAGAATATCCATCCAGCTATTCATTGATTTCTAAAACCAGTTCATTTATTGTGTACATAGTTATTAGACTTAATCAATTATAAATACCGACTGAATTGTTTATTGGAAATCAACTCTTCAAATTGTTTTAATTTCGCACTAAATTCATAAAGAATTATTAATTTAGAAATATTTCATCAGCACAAATTTTGATATATTCATGTTGATGTGGAATACACTGCCGTCTTATGTAAATTATGTATTTTTAAAATAAGTAAACAGTATATTTGACAAAAAAACATTAAATTAATAAAACTTGGTTAAATTTAAATTCTGTTATCCTTGGATAACAGAATATTGAAGTGTTTTCTAATTGGTTATCATTATCTTTATTTATAATCATTTAAAAATTGGTGTATAATTTTTTTATTGTTTTAGAAGTTATTGAAATTAAAATGCAATTGTTTATTATTTTCATATAAATTTTTAACTTATATATATTAAGTACGTGTTTACATAGAGGTGTGTATAAATTCTTATATGTGAAAAATATAAAGTTGAAATTAACTAATTTAAAAAGATGTTACTCTAGAGTAAAATAGTTTTTCCCTAATATCAAAGTTTTTTATTTGTATTTTGCTTCTTCCATTGTATATGAATAAATTTATTACTTGTTAATCATGTAATTTAAGTAATTACTTGATTGAGCTGTATGAAATTAATAAATTGGATAACTTTATATGAAACGAAAAAAATTGTATTTATTTATATATTTAAGTGATTTTAATTAGCTAATATCAGCTAATATAGATCTTAATTAATTATATTTAGACATTAATTGTCTTTATCTAAATCAGAGATATTTTAGTTTAAACAAGAACATTATAAAATTATTAGTCATTAATATATTAGCAAACTATAATAAAGATGTATGTATTAAGAAATTATATTTATATATTTTAAAAGGCTATATTGGCTGTTACTCATATTGATAAGATTATTGTCAGATTGGTACAATTTTGTGAAGGATCTGTTTCTGTAGGGAGAGTTTCTATATTGTATATTTTATATATATTTTCGACTTATCTTTCATATAGGTCAATTTCTTATCAGTCGTTTTATCTTCAGTTATATACCTTATATTAAACGGTAAGTATGTGTGTAAATATATGCCTGTGTCTATGACATTAAGCACTCTATGAGCATGCAATAACATTCAGTATTCATTAATGTGTTTGAACTTGCTAATCGGCGAATACGCAGTTTAAGTTTGAAAACATATATTTCATATATTATTGAATTAGATTTCATATAATATTTATACCACGCGTTGTAACGAAATTTTTTTCGTAATAATTTACTCTGTACTACGTATTGACAATGTGGTCTAACCTGGACAGTACTATTGTGAGTGCATCAGGAGGATTTTTGAATGATAGTCAGGATCAAAGTGACGGAAATAAAAAAACTGGTAAAAGAATCAAGAAAATAATTCCTGTTATGATTCAACAGTTAACACAACTTAATGACAATTTGGAAGGTAGTATTATTACTCTTGTAGGAATTATACACCATATAGAGAAGAGTAGCACAAAAGTGACATATGAAATTGAAGATGAAACAGGTATCAAACAGGAATATTTTGAAATTTATGTAATTCTAGAGATAAATTGTTATTATTAATATAATTTTTTATGTTAGTATATAATTATTTCTTATTTATTAGATCAAATAAATTTTTGAAGAAATATGATAAAATTAATATATTAATTGATTAATTACAGGTCATATTACATGTTTCCAATGGTTGGCAGTGGGAAAGTCAGAATCAATAATTAATTTAAATACCTATGTACGAGTATTTGGATACATAAGAGAACAAACTGAAATCAAACATATATTAATTTTAAAGATTTGGCCTTTGACTACCTTGAATGAATTAACTAATCATTTATTGGAAGTGACCTATGTAACATTAAAGATTCAAAAGACTTCTAATAATGAAGATAAAGGTTCTGATGTCCCTATGCTAGATGATAACCTTGGGTTGACTAAAGAACAAACTATAGTCTATAGGGTCATTCAAGCAGAAAATGATAGCGAAAATGGAATAGAAAGAAAGACTCTCAAGAACCGTGTGCCAAAGAATATGTTACCAACAGTTGATGAGATAATTGACTTTCTTACAAGTGAAGGACATATTTATACTACTTTTACAGATGATCACTTTAAGACAACATAATTATGCAAGCAGATACAGAATTTTGTTGCTCAAACCTAATTTAAGAAAGATCTGAAGTTATCTAAACCTGTTGAAAAATTAATATGTACATTCTATATAATTATTGTATAGAGATTTTTGTATTGCATAGACGTAATATTAAGAAATAAATTTGAATTAATGTTTTGTGTAATTGATAACAATTACGAATAATTGTTGTAAATACACCTATAAATATTTTAATATTGTATAGAGATTTTTGTATTACATAGACGTAATATTAAGAAATAAATTTGAATTAATGTTTTGTGTAATTGATAACAATTACGAATAATTGTTCTAAACATACGTACAAATATTATTTTTTAAAAATAAACAGTTAATTCAACATCAACTGAGTGTTACCTAACATAGAGTATGATTGTTATATTATATCATTATTATATCATATTATATTATTATACAGGACGATCCCTCTGTTAGTTGATTCAAAGTCAGTGCCACCAATCATACCGCGGAAACTCCTTGTTAATTGACAAGATTTAGTCCCCACTCGCACGCTTAATTAGTAAGGCAATATTATGTTATATTCAACATTTAATAAAAAAATGTTACAACAATCCATTCTTAAAATTTCAAGTATTATTTAACATATTTTTTTAATTTTATCTATATATCGTTTTGCTAAGAATTTCAAATCACTTTTAAATCTACGAATTATGTCTCAATGTATGATATTACTAAGTATGTGATTACCACAAGCATCGCAAAGTATCTGTAAGTCATCTTTAGTTATTTCTATGAAAATAGTATTTGCACATGCGCATTTTGTATAGAACGATAGGACAAAACGTAGTTGACATTCTATCATCATACGTGCATAAAGATTTAACTCTGTTTATGTTTGTTTTTAGCAGAGTAAAGTATTCTGAAGGAAATTTGAAAACTCTTTTTATACATTGAGCTATGATTAAAAAGTTTATTAAAAGAACTGTATAATTCACTTGTAATTTATATTAGTATAAAAATTAATATGTGAGTTACATTGTGTTTACAAAATTTCAGTTAGGTTATCAAATACGAATTATTGAAATGATTTCTTTTAGATTAATTTGCTACAATATAAATATGCAGATTTGATATTCTTTAATTATTCAATAATAATTTTTCAAAAATATTTACGGAATTCAATATGTCTGAATCTATGGATATTTCTGAATCTGATGACGGAAATATTTCTACTCAATCTGATGTATCTGCTCAAATAAATAAGAAGGAGAAGAAACCAACATGTATCATCATCCTTGGAATGGCTGGGTCTGGCAAAACCACATTTGTACAAAGACTTGTTTCAGTATTATACAAAACAGGAAAACCTTATGTAATAAATTTAGATCCTGCATGTAGAGAAGTTCCTTATCCTGCTAACATAGGTAATATATTATATTATTACTGTTTTTTCATTACAAATATGTTTTAATAAATTCTTAATGTTTTAGATATTAGAGATACTGTCAATTATAAGGAAGTGATGAAACAGTATAGTTTAGGACCAAATGGTGGTATTGTTACTGCCCTAAATCTTTTTTCTACAAAATTTGATCAAGTTATAGAACTTATTGATAAAGGAGGCAAAGAGCATGAATATGTAATTTTGGATACTCCTGGGCAAATAGAAGTTTTTACATGGTCAGCAAGTGGGACAATCATAACAGAAGCTTTAGCATCTGAATTTCCAACGATTATAGTGTATATATTAGATACTGTAAGAAGCGTTAATCCTGTAACATTCATGTCTAACATGCTTTATGCATGTTCTATACTTTATAAAACTAAATTACCATTTATTGTTGCTATGAATAAGGTAATTGTTAAAGTACCTAATATTATTGTGTTATCTAGTAATTAATCTAATGATATAATTCTATGTATATATGTTTTAAGATTGATATCATCGAACATAGTTATGCAGTAGACTGGATGCAAGATTTTGAAGCATTCCAGGAGGCTTTGGATTCAGAAACGAGTTATATTAGTAACTTAACACGTAGTATGGCTCTTACACTTGATGAATTTTATAGTCATTTACGTAGCTGTGGAGTTTCTGCTGCAACAGGAGCTGGTATTACTAAGTTTCTTGAACTTATTAAAGATGCAGAAGAAGAATATGAAAGGTAAATGAAGTTCATATATCAATAGTATTTATAAAAAATATTATTATTAATATTATTAATTAATATAATATTTATACAATATGTTATGAAATGCAAAAAGTAAATTTTCTGTTAAAGAGAATATAAGAAAGCTTGGAAGAGAATGAAGATTAAACGAGATGCTCAGCGACAAAAGGCAGAGAAAGAACAACTTGAAAGAGCAACTCAGGAAGCTACAGGAGAAAATATGCCATTAATAACAACAGTTAATAGTGGAAGAGAAATTTCAGATATATATTTAAAACACGCTGGTAATGAATCAAGTGAAGATGAAGAAGGTGTGGAAAATCCATTTAAAAACGAAGAAGATGAAGAAGAAAGAAAGGAAGCAGAGTCCTTCAAAAGTTTTTTAAATAGACATAAAATGCAACAAAAGAAACATATAACTGATCAACCTACAACAAGTAGTGATACATAGCCTAAGAAGAAATGTTTGTAAAAACATTAAAAAATAAATTCTGTTATTAACAAATAAATTGTACGTTTAATATAAAGATATTATATTTTGAAGTTTACATTTTATAATTACATATTTAATGGAAAATGTTATTTTACATATTATTTATTTTCTAAATGGCAATTGTCCTATGAATACTTAAATATTATAATAATACTGATAATGCAGAAAGCTCAAATAATGTATAAAATAATATATTTTTCCTTGGATATTTAATTAATAGTTTTAGAAAAATTTGTCCACAACATAAACACTGGAAGTAAGTTGTGTGTCATTTGAGTTATCCTTTTTTGAAGAAATTGGTACCGAATTTTTTGTAATCCAATCTATAGGTGGGTTCATGGTTTTGTGGCGTATATAAACTATTCAATACTGAAATTTTATGTTAAGATTAATTTTTAATAGAAATTCTGTATTTTATACTGGTTAACAAATTTCTTTTAATGATATTTTTCAATACTACTAAATTTAAGGATGTTTTCAAGTGAGCCGCGGATCAATTAAATAAATATACAAACAATGAAATAAATAAATAAATATGTTTGATTCATAAAGACTTAGATTACACTACCTTTTTCAGGGGAATTTAAAGTACTTTCATCTTTTAATATACGATTTTGCTTTTGCTGGTATTCTCGCGATATTTGTTCTAGCGCTTTCGTTAACGCCAACTGGAAACAATCAAAATCTTGTGAAATACAAAAATTACAATTACAATTTTTTGTAATTTTTTCTGTTGAATATAGCCAAGATTTTAGGGTAGTTGATTAAAAATATCTTCTTTCAAAATAATGATTTTTAAATTAATTTATTTAAAGAAAATTACACAAGTTTCAATTTTTATTAAAATCTTATTAAATAGGTATATCTTAGACATAAAATTTTTAAGAGGATTTAGGATAGGATATAGAATATGCATATGTATTTGAACTTCAAACTTGAAAGAAACATTTTACAAAAAAATTCTATAAAAGTCATGCTTTTTACATGTAATTTATACAGGATTTTATAAGGAAAGCTAGTTGATGCCAATATTATTTTTGTCACTGAAGAAAAAAAGGAAGAAGAATCATTTTTCAATTAATTTAATTTATCAAGGAAAACAAAGTATTTCCTATTTTTATTTACCCGGCACATGTGTAAACGCGATACATGATCGGAGTCCTTGCTTAAAAAATTCTGTTCCGCGGCACATTTTGCATTAAGCCGTCGACAGTGTCTCATTTTTCCGGCAGTTTTCCTGTATACTCTTGACAAGAGATCGGGCCTTCCAGTACGAAAATTTTCATGCAAAAATTCATGAACGTCCGGATTGTGAGAATTACAAATTGGATCTCTATTATGTGACGTCACTTTCCGGAAGCCGTACAGATTCAGCTGCCTGATAAAGCTCGTAATGTTTTTCGTTTTGAAGATGGAATTACCCGCGTCGAGATACTGTTCTTGAAATTTCTTGTAATCAAGAAGAATCGTATTACCATTAAGGCTCCAACGAATGGCACCACTTTTGCATTCGTTCACTATACGCCATAGTTTTTGCGGAAATCGCAACGAAAGAAATATGCAATCGTCGTACATGTTCGATTCGAGAGTAGCGTTTATAGTCGTCTATAGAACGCAGAACGAAACTAAACACTGCAAATTTCTCTCTTCTCTTTCTCGAATCCGATCGATTATCTTTTGCAAACAAAATACTATCGTATCACAGCAACAATATTTCTTCTTTTGGAATCGTCTGAACTATTTTAATCTCTTGGCGCGAGCTTGAAATATTAAAATAAGCACAATTTTTAAGTACATCATAGAAGAAGTAATTATTTGAATGCTATAGTTTGTAGCGTGTAGTGTTTGTTCCGCGTACTAAATGAAATAGGTTATAGTACTTATATTTTAATTAATAAATGTACACTATAGACTTTAATAAAAACATTATGATTTAATACAATGATTCGTACACTAAAAACAACAATATATTTAAAATGTCTCTCATTCGTGTCTCTTTACACGATACTACAACATTTTATACAAATCGCAACGCAAAATTATCAAATATGTAGATGGGATGTGAGGTTAGAAAAGAAATTAGATATACGAGCGCGTAAATAATTATCGTAATCGTAATTAATAATAAATTATTAAAAGTATGTTACAGTTCCCTAACATTACAAAATATTAATACTATTTCCTGGACAATGAAGGTTCGGCATATCGAACTTTCACAATTTCCCTGATATCATTGGTATTTCTTGATTACATACAAAAAAGTATAGGTATAAAAGGTACGAAAAATTAAATAACATCGTAAGTGATAATTTTCTTCGTATCTTATCATTTTCGTTTTTAACAATTTTTATTCAAACGAATATCCATCGATCTCATCTATTAAGATAAAGAGAAATGTATTTAGTAGTATTCTCAAAATCGATTTACATCAGTCTTTCAATCCGGACGCTATAAAAGACAAATATCGAAAGGAAGAAGTTAATACAAAGGGCCATGGTTCATATTTATAAAAATAATCTAATGTAAAAGAGTATTTCTTGTAAATTCAAATTCAAATTCAAATTCAAATTCAAATTCAAATTCAAATTCAAATTCAAATTCTTGCATGTCGCCTCAGAAAACTATACATATCTACCTAAAAGAGTATTGGAGATATGTACATCAAATTGTTCAGCAATGAATGCATCTTCCTCTTATTATTTTTATTCTAGTTTTTATCAGACTGAATTGTTTCGGACTGAAGGATCACATTTTAACTAATTACGCTTACCGATGTTTTTACTGGTATGGTATTTATACAAAGTTTAAAGGCTATTAGCTTTAAAAGCTTGTAGAATTATCTTTTTTTGTACGATTGAATAAATGGAATCAAGTTTCTGAAACCGCAATAGGAACAGTTATAAAATAAGCAATGGCTTTCAAGCAATGGCTATTACAATGAGCTTCAGACATTCTTTTTGAGTTTTCATTTTTGATTGAAATTTATAAATTATCGCGTGTCAAAGTACTCGCGTGTTAAATCTCTTGTCAATCAGACAAAGCTGGTAAAGTTTGTAAATATTCGTGTGGTTTAGTCGGTGCTGGCAATAAATAGCCATCAGGATCCAACACGTCTGGCGTACGAATAGTGACCGGTCCTTGAGGTGGTCTTGGCAACGTGTCTTGTTGAATAGATTTACCTTTAGCTTTCTCCAGTCTTTCTAATATCTCCGAAAATTTGATTCTGTCCTTAGGATCCGTTTTCCAGCATTCTCGCATTAGTTGGCAAACAAATGGCGGACATCCTTCCGGAGGTATAAGCATTATTCCTTGGAAAATTAACTTCACCACCTGGACGAATGTTTAATAAAATATGATAGATCGTAGAAATTGGAGGGAAATAAGAAGGGAATGTTATATCGTGTCGCTTGAGTTTGAGTTTGTTCGCGTTAAATTGCATTTAGCCTTAAACTTGGAGGTCTAAAACTACTTATAAGTGGTGCAGTAGCAAACAAGTAGTAAGAAAGAGCAATGGCGCGACAGGTATAAGGTAACGTGCTTGAACGAATGAAATGAAATGATTTCGTAAATTCAGGTATTTTTTGTACGATAAATATTTAGTAAACTGTTGTTTACTCTAGCAACTGACAAAATAGTTTTACTTACTTCTTCGTTATTATGTCCGTAATATGGCTGCTTGCCAAAAGAGTAGACTTCCCATAGAACCACCCCAAAACTCCATACGTCACTTTCCAGCGTGAAGCGTCCGTACATTACGCTTTCTGGTGACATCCAGCGAACAGGTAGAAGTCTGGAGCCTCCTATCTAAGGAGAATAAAAAATTCCTATTTTAATAAATCATTGAATTTATAGTAAATTATTTAGCAATATTTTTATTACCTTATAGTAATCGCAAGTATACACATCCCGGGACATTCCAAAATCTGCTATCTTAACAACGAGATCAGAACCAACCAGACAATTTCTGCATGCTAAATCTCGATGGACGAATCTTTGACCGGATAAATAAGTCATACCAGCTGCAATCTGAATAGTTATCCAATGTAAAGACTCCTGAAACAAGTAATGGTATAGTGTTGGTGAAAATAAGGAGAAAAGAACTTCGATACAATGAAGAAGGTCAGTCTTTTTAATAAGATTTACCTGAGTTAAGGGTTGCAGGCCGGGTTTCGTCGTCCTACTAAATTGTCGAGAATTCGATCGCAAAACTTCAGCTAGATCTCCGTAAGGCATGTATTCGAAAACCATCCACGGGCTGTTATTACCTTCCCGAAGTACTACACCTTTCAGTGATAAAATATTTCTGTGTCCAAACGTAGACATAATGTCGACTTCTCGCATGAAGTCTTCTTCCGCTTCGCGGGAGGCACTTTCTTTTAAAACTTTTATCGCGACGATCTCTTTCGAGTCTCCGACACATGATTCTCCTATAAAAAATGAAACCTTCGTTAGTACGTCAATTATTGCTATAATATTCGTGAAAAATAAATCACAAGACGTTCTCACGATGCTTTGATAGTATATATATGATAATGAAATATATGAAATAATGATATATATGAAAATGATAAAAACCTTTATACACTTTGCCAAAACAACCCTCGCCGATATCTTCTAAAAATACAAGAGATTCACGTTGCAGAATCGGCACTTCTGGCGAGGCGCAACTGAAATACTGTGGATTAGGTGTGTACTTATTCGCTAGCAGCAATCCCTTTTTCAGATTCATCGGTGTTCCCTGAAGAGAACATATGCAAGCATACTTTCATAACAATTTTTTAACCAGTCAAATATTTTTTACATTTTATATTTGCAAATCTAATAGGAGAGAAGTTAATTTTGTCACTAGCATACAGTAGGAATTAAAGGAAATTAGATCAGATTAAAAATCCAATCTGTTCTGAGTTTATAATTATTTCGATGTGATCCGTTTGTTATTCGTGTTATTATTTTTATTAACAATAAATACAACTATACCGATATATGGAGGAAATTGTAATTAAAACCGTGATGAGAAATTATGTTTTTCCTTGCCCGTTTTTAAGGTGTAAATTCAATATAATGAAGATAATTAAGAGTGTCCCAATCAGCCATTATTAAGTTTCATTAGCTTATTTCTCTGTACATTAAGATAAGCTTGTATAAGATTGCATTTAATGAAATGTGGTCAAACAATCAGTTACGTTAATTAAAAGTATTGTACTTTATATCCTTATCTTTAAACGCCATTAATATTCTTTGAATGTCTAAAATCAAATGTTTCGAATATTTCAAACGCAGAAGAAAAAGGAAATAAACAATAATGTAAAAATATGTATGAATAAAATGGAGCAAAAAATAGTATAAATGAACAATACGTTATATTTGCTCCTAGAGAAAAAAAACCGATGACCTCGGTATAAAAATATTTTATCATTATATTTCCTTCCAAATTAAAAAATGTATGGAGTTATTGTATGACTCTCCAGGAAATATATTAATATACTCAAAAATGTTATTGTACTCAATATCATTGTATTTATTGTACTCAAGTTATAATATTACATTAGATATCAAAATTTTGTTTGAACCAACCGAGAATATTCTGTTATCCAACGTTTTAAATAACAGTGTTTTAAATGTTACGTTAGTTTTTAGGAGGCACTGCAATATTATTATTTGATTGACGTACATCCAGGGAATTCCTCTGTGACTTCACGTTATAACTCCTTTTCTTCACGCAATACACTATACTCAACAATATTGCTAATACCGCGACGAAAGCTACGGCGATTCCTACTATTTCAGGTACCCTTAGTCTCGCTCGCTCTACCTGTTGAACAGTATGAAAATACTACAAACTATGTTTGCAGGCGATTGTACGAATATTTAAAGGTTGACGAATAATAATTGAGTCAGTAATTTGGAGTAATTACCTGTTCAGCTTCTGGAAGTGCGGTAGTGCTGTTGGTAGAATTACCATTTGGGGGTATTATATTGGGTATAGGTCGAGGTGTTAGGGGAACTAGAAAAAGTAATTAATAATGATATTTGTAGAAAGATCGTTTCTTTAGTATTTGTCAAAAATTGATAAAGCTATCTTTTTTTTTTTTTTTGCTTAAAGGATGAAGTCACCTTCGTTTACATGTACTAAATCTTTTGTTGCAAGAAAATTAATTCGATGAAAAATAACTCGTAACGAGCGAAATTTAAACAAGCGTTTTAACAAATACAAAATTCAGATTTTTTTCTTAAGAAAAGTAATTTGCGCATAAGGTCGCTTCAACGCCGGGACGGAAGTAATAGATATAAATTTGGTTTAGAATTCAAACTGGAATGATTTATTTTAACTTCTCTAACAAGATTAAGAAAGAAAAATATAATTCCATAGCGGAAAGTCAAGGTGACTCTGATCTTTTTTTAGAAACAGCACGCTTTAACATCTTTTCCCACTTTAGGTCGTAAACGTTCAGGGACGAATAGTTTCATGCATCATTTTCCATACCGTACACGTGCTCGCGTGTATTTTCTAAAGTATATTGTGGTATAAGTATACAACGATCGACTTGCTAGAAGATTAAAGAAATATATCGAAGTAAAAATGTTACTTAAAGAAAAATACAAAGAGATGCTACTTGACTCTGACCTATTAGGCGATTTGGACACTTTAAGTCCGTCGTAGGTGGTGACAAGTCGTGCGGACAAACGCACTTCGACGTATTGTCTGTGAAGCTACGACAAGCTGCTTCCTTTCCACAAATTTGAGGCCGGTCTTTGCATCCCGTGATCACGGCATTCCCATTGATAGGCAGTATTACTTCCGATTGTTGTGTGGACTCGGTGGTTGCTGATAGTTCTGAAACAATATTTACACGTTATCGCAATTTTGTCAGTTTACAGTAGCTGTACTCAGTGAGTTTACGAGTACATAAAAATAGCCTCGAACAAAATATCTGAGAATGAGCGTACATCATGAAAAGTAGAGGATTATCGAATGTGTTACCGTGTGTGTTATGAGATGAAAGAATGTTAATTAACTCTCGTCCAGCTATGATTAGGTCGAGCGACGAACGAAACAAAGAAATGTATTAGAACGCACTTTTGGTTTTCTACGAAAAGTTACTGTACCTTGGTTCTATTCCAATTCCTATTATAATATATTAAGGCAAAGATTTCCACTTCTAAAATATTCTTGCAACTCTTTAAAGAAATGATATAATATAGCCCAAAATCAGTAGGAGTAAGAGGGTTAAAGCCTGTATGGGATAGAAACGCAACTTATAGCATAACTATGTTTCAACAATTTATGTTTCCCTTAAAACCTATGCAAGATGTTTAAAAAATATATTGGTACCAATATTCTGCTCTTTTAATTACTTCGTGTTAATTTCAAATTGATACGAATCTCGTTCCAAAGTGAGTTTGAAGCGGCAAAGCTTCTCAGAAAGAACACGAAGAGAGCCAGGAGTCGGCACACTCTACTTATATCAAAAGTGCCGAAGTAGTTGGCGGTTTAAGGTAGAGCAGTCGAATTTACAGGAGAACGGTGGTAACGGTTAATAAAGGGCGAGCTGGTAAGAAAAAGGGCT